AAAGCGTTCAAGATCTTGGTAGACGTTTCTTTTTTGTCTTTCCGAAGTGCTCAGTTTTCTTCATCAGTCTTTTGGCGGATGCACATGAATTAATGATTTTCATCACCTCCTTTTCCATCGATCAATCTGTAGTAACGTGCTGGATGTCCTTTTCGTAAATTGTTACATTTGGTTGTGAAAGCCAAGCCAAGGTGACAAGATTGACAAATGGCGTGTTTTTAAATTGGCCATGATACATTTTCCACGGTCTCCAAGTTGTTAATGGTGTGTTTTATTGAGTGAGATCAAACTTTTTAGCCTTTAACTGCGCTTGTGGAGAAGTAATATAAAACATAGCTGAGCAAATTAAGGTGGGTATGATGAAAAAACAAGATATATATCGAGGAAATATAGGGCAAAAAGGGAGATGGATTTATGGAACTGTGTTTGTATAAGGTTGCTTGTATTTGAGATCATCTGTATTTAAAAAGTTCATACTTGTATTATATATTTTAACTTGTTGCATGCTCAAATATTGAAAAACGTCATTTTTCACACTCTCCCTCCCTCAGTCTGAAACCAACTTTGTGAGTTTCAACAAAATTGCTTTGCTTGGCAACAACTTGGGTCTGTGTTGACTTTCTGTCAGCTGGTGACATTCACATCACATGCACTGCAGCTGTAAATAAACAGGACAGAATATAATATGTTGAAAACTGTAAAACTGTCTACATTTTACCGTTATGAAATCACAATTTTGCAGAAATCCTGCAGTAAAATCTACCTTCAAAAAAAGATAGAAGCAAACTGTTCTAATCCGGCTTGAAACATTATCTGCAGATTCCTACATTGTCCTTTTGTTTGATAGTGTCCCTGTTTGCTTACACCAAATATCCTGGTCTTTTTTATTTTCAACAACTGTCAAACTATCCCCCTTATTATTTCACCATCAACAACAGCAACGTGTTTATAACTCACTAAACATGTCGTTGTCATTGTTTAGACATTGGCAGCCTCGCATGACTTAGATGAGCCAGACCTAACACCTTGTTCCCCTGATGAAAAGTTGATGATATTTACGCTATGGTTTAAACAAAGATGATCTGTTTGGCCTCTTGTGGTCGCAGGTTTCATTTCCCTGCCAAAGATAATCATCTTCTTCAATCTTTGAAGTCCAGTTTATTTGTGCAGCCCAGTATCACACACACAACTGTCAAGGAAGCAATCTGTCATGGTCTTAAAAAACTGCATTTGATAGCCATTACAAATGCAGAACTTTCCCACAGCATTCAGAAGGTAACAATGATTTGAGACAGAGACAACGTTTTTTTCTCATGCTTGACTTCATTTATTTTGACAATTTCTTGTTTTCAAAGCAAGTACAATTTAAAAGCAACACCTCGGGATAAACATATTTGTTTATTTGACATGTCCTCCATCATATTATGGCGCAACACATCTTTGTTCCATTCTTTTGTTTCTAGCTGTCTTTCACTATTTATGACTCATCATATTCCTGAGGTCCAGTTGCAACCTCAGCTAATGAAACTCACAGCCAACTTTTCTTTGAGACTCTCTCTGAACACCAGAGACGCCATAAATCCTCAAAGTGCAGTAATGTGCTGCATGACTTGCTGTCAGTCTTTGGAGTTTTGGTTTTTATCTGCTGCTCCATACACCACTAGTGCCAAAGGGTCTCCAAAACTGTCTATAAAATCATTTTCTGTCAGCACATTTTGCATTTTGCGTGCAAATTGTGCTTCAACTCTAAAAAGTAAATGTGATGCAACATGGACAGACCTAAACGGGGCAGGCAGTCTGTTTGGGCTTAGCTTGGGAACCAGATCATCCTCAGATGGTCAAGTCCCCCAAAAATATACATTGTCTGGACAGACCCCCAAACTGCTCCAGCCCGCCACACTATGGCAGCCCCTTCCCTCTGACACCTCTTAGTTAATGCATACGTTTGTTACGTACTGTGTGTTTATCATTAAAAGGGAATGTATCCATGGCATTTATAAAGTCTATTATTTTTCTTCTGAAAGGTAAAAGCGTATTTTGTCAGTCCTTTGGTATAAGGAAGGGAACCAAAATATAGGTCTTGAACACCCGAAATAAATATATACATTTAAAGTATGAGCATATGTTCAAAGAAACTACAAGTACTATCACAATGTGTTGATTTTCCGTTTAAATCTAACAGCATAAATACTTAAATAAGGCAAACTATCTTCAGAAGAGGTTGATCGTTTCCGGATTTCAAATGAAATAGAATCAATGTGTTGTAGTAACACCACAATAGGGAGAATTGCGGAGAAACCGGCAATCCTCCTCTCCATTTGAGCGTGGAGAATACCAGAAAAAACAGACTGAACTTTTTCCACACCTCCACCATGCGTTAATCACCTCAACGCCAATGTGAATGCAGCCCAAAAGCCTCTTTGATGCATCCACCTTTGCAGTTTCAGAATATACGTAAGTCATTCAACACTTGATGTTTGATGAGCCACACTGACTGAATATATGAAACAAAGTCTAGTAAGGTAAGGACACTGTGATTCACATTTTTCTCTTTGTGGTGCAGATCGCTGTTTGACATTGAGAGAAATAAAAGCAGTGAGTTCTCGTTGCTTTGTGCCGACATCACCAGATTCAACCCACGGAAAATGTCCCGTTTCTTAAAGACACGACATTGAACCGTTCAACACGCGAAGCAGAATAATAAACCGTCTCAGAGCAACACCGCTATTAGACACTATTTTCTGTTAATAGAGTCATTTTTTTTCAAATCCCCAATCCACCATGCGTCATTTGACAGTTGCTGCAATCACATAGTTACATTTAAAAAAAATAGTGCTTCAGAAACTTTGTAAATGTTTGTATACTTATTAATTAGGAAAAGTTGGAAAAATCTATTGGTACCATGTGATTGCCATTAGGGTTTTCGGTCATATCGATTTCTCTATATTCATGTGTCCCATAAATGACTAGAAAGCCATATAGTGCATTATCAAAACATTGTTCTTTGGTATTGCTTGTGGTCAGTCACCGTTTTATGACATAACGTCCTATTTGAACAGGAAAAGGACCTCACTAAAGACTTAACAAAAGCCTCTTATGGGCCTTTAATCTCCCACTCTCGCTGCGGAGGTGCCATTAAAAGTGTTGATGTGTTTATCACATGCAGCTCTATTAAGAGAAGGGGCACCACAGATAAGATAAGCGTGTTTGTTTTTGTGACTCACAAACACATACACCACATTGACTTTCACACTTTGTCACATTCACACACACACACACAATGTCTGATATAAATGTCCCATGGAGATAAAAATATCAGCAGCATCACATCACACGTCCATAACTCCATGGCCACCATTTTTCTGCTACAGCAAACATGTATCCTGCACTCAGGAAGAAATGTCTGATGTATTTGAACTATTTCATGATGTCTGCCTTTCTGCACATACAGTGTCATATCCGTCAAAATG